TTTGGACTGAAACTGAGGCAGATTTCTTCATTTTATTTTATTTTATTTATTTATTTATTTATTTATTTATTTATTTATTTCTTCTTCTTCATTTTAAAGGAATGGGTAGATGTAAAGTTGAGATGGAACCCTGATGACTATGGTGGGATAAAAGTTATACGCGTCCCTTCAGACACTCTCTGGACCCCAGACATTGTTCTATTTGACAAGTAAGTTTCATCCTAAATACTAGTTTATGTTTTCAAAAGAAGGCTTGTATTACTATTAGGCATTGATCATTTTTCTCCTTTTGAAAATGGTTTAGTTATAACACCAAATAATTTCATCTTGCATTCTTTTCTTTCATAAACTTACAAATAAGTTCTGTGGATCTTCCTTTCTTATTTTTTATATTTTTTTTTCATAAAAATGTTTTGATTTCTGAAATTTGTGAAGACTTTGGGAGATGGACTGGAAGGTAGAGGGGCAAAGGGAGAAAATTAGAGGCAACCTCTGCTGTTAGCGTCCGCATGTGCCCAACGGCTGACCAGTTCCTAGTGTGCTGTGTGTCATTTAATTGTCACAGCAGCCCCTCATGCCAGGTACACTGTGGCATAGTCATACCCCCCTCTGGCCTCTTATATACCACATTACTTATTTGCAGACTTTAGATTCTGAGGGATATGCTTGAGGCCTTGTACTATGCTCTGATACGTACTCATCCTCCTAATTTTGTTTAAATACTATATTGTCATTTTTCCTGTAATGAGGAATGTTTGTTCACTTATATAGCTTAGGCTGACCTTGAACTCTATGTGTAGCCCAGGTTGGCCTTGAACTCACAGGGATCCTCCTGCCTCAGCCTCCCAAATGCTAGGATTATAGGCATGTGCCTCCATAGCTGGCATACATAGGTGTGTTCTGAGGATTTTTGTATTTAGTACTGGGGGTTTAACCCACGGACACTGTACCAGTGAGATATATCCCAGGTCCTTCTTAAATTTGAGACAGGATTATGCTAAGTTCCCCAGACTGGCCTCAAACTTGGCATCTTTCTGTCTCAGTCTTTCAAGTAGCTTTGACTGCAGTTGTGTGCCAATCGACCTTGGGTTTTCTAGTTAATTTGAGACAAGGTTCAGTTTGGGTATTTTCCCTAGGATCACTCTAGGGAAAATATGGGAAGTTTGCTTATCCTAAAGCACACTGGCCTATTTACAGAAAGGTACTTGGCATGAAAGATGAAGAAAGATTATGTGCAGCATGGATCTCTGGAACAGTCTACCACCGTACCGTGCTTCTCTCTGCAGGTGGGGAAGCCGGGCATGTATGTCACTGATGTGGCCTCCTATCTTCCACTTTACTTTCAGTGAATGAAAGCAGTATCATACTAAACCCAGAATTTTTTTTTTTTTTTGGTTTTTTTGAGACAGGGTCTCACCATGCAGTTCAGTCTGGCCTTGAACTCATGTTGTAGCCCAGGCTAGTCTCAGACTCACAGCAGCCCTCCAGACTCAACCTCTCAAGTACTGGGATTACAGGTGACCACCATAACTGGTTAAACATGGAAATATTACACAGTGCTGCCAAAGGCATGCGAATTAGAAGAAAAAGCACAAGATGTAAGAAACCATGTATCAGGGAACAGCTTTGTGCTGGGCCACTGAGTTAGGTGCCATCCCAGGCTGTGCCTACCTCTCACGAGGAACAAGTGCCAGTACTTGTGCTGCAGGAAGAACAAGGTGTGCGAGGATGTGGGTGCAGGGACTGGCTCTGTGTGTAAATAGCTGATTCTATTTTGTGTGTAAAGTGAGGTCTTTCAACCATTTGAATATAAGAAAGGAAGACAGAGATTTGTGGGTAGGGCTCAGATGTATCAGAACAAGTTTAGTCCCAGTGGCATCGGATATGCAAGGAAGATGTCCCTGAGCAGGTCCCTCTGGGCAGCAGGCTGTGTATTTCCTGCTGTCTGTTTTGGCTTTCTTTACCTGGGCTTGCGCAGTGCGTACTTGGCCTGTCTAACTCCAGCCCTGTTCTTGCTCATGGGTGTCTCACAGTGCAGATGGACGCTTTGAAGGTGCCCGTACAAAGACTGTGGTCAGAGCCAATGGCACTGTTGTCTGGACGCAACCTGCAAACTACAAGAGCTCCTGCACCATAGACGTCACCTTCTTTCCTTTTGACCTCCAGAACTGCTCCATGAAGTTTGGGTCTTGGACCTATGATGGATCGCAGGTTGATATCATTCTTGAGGACCAAGATGTGGACAGAACAGACTTTTTTGATAATGGAGAATGGGAAATTGTAAGTGCCACGGGGAGCAAAGGCAACAGAACTGACAGCTGCTGCTGGTATCCCTACATCACGTTCTCCTTTGTCATCAAGCGGCTGCCTCTCTTCTATACCCTGTTCCTGATCATTCCCTGCATTGGGCTGTCCTTCCTCACCGTGGTCGTCTTCTATCTCCCTTCGAACGAGGGCGAGAAGATTAGCCTCTGCACTTCCGTGCTTGTTTCGCTGACGGTCTTCCTCCTGGTGATCGAAGAGATCATCCCGTCCTCGTCCAAAGTGATCCCTCTGATTGGAGAGTACCTAGTGTTCACCATGATCTTTGTGACGCTGTCCATCATGGTGACCGTCTTCGCCATCAACATTCACCACCGCTCTTCCTCCACACACAATGCCATGGCACCCTGGGTCCGAAGGGTGTTTCTGCACCGGCTTCCCAAGCTGCTGTGCATGCGAAGCCACGTGGACAGGTACTGCACCCCAACAGAGCAGGCCGTGGGGGACAGCAGGCCTGGACCAGCCAGAAGTGCACTGGAGGCTGCGCTTGACTCCATCCGCTACATCACCAGGCACGTGAGGAAGGAGCACGCGGTACGCGAGGTCTGTGCTGGGGTTAGGGGTGCAGGTCTGCTTCAGTGCTAGATAAGTGGAGACCCCAGGGCTTAGTGGGGATTGAGGGCCAGAGAGCCCCGAGGGAGCAACCACAGGAACCTCAGCTCCGTGGCCCCCAGCGGCCCCTGGGCTAGCTCTGAGGAAGCCAGTGGCGTGCGTGACCCTTGCCATGACTGTTTTAATTTACATTCGTAACTGTTTCTGAATTTTATAGCAACTTGTACACACAGCTGCATTATCCTTTACCAAAAATTATTTCATTTTTTAAAGAATGGGTCTAATTTTGGCTTTATAAATATGCACAGGCCAAGATAGGTTCTAGAATTCTTTTACCAGAGAATGATGGGAAAAGGAAAGGAATCAGGTGTCTGTGTGTGTTATGATTTCTACCTCAGACTGTTCACATGAAGCTCAGTAAAATTATGCTTTGTTTGCTTAAAAAACCAAATTGCTCAAATCTTTATTGTAGAAAAGTAATTTTCATTAGTTCCTTATTTAAGGTTAATTTAAAATGAAAGAATTGAGCATAAGTAAGTACATTTAACTGCTATTACAATGAAAATGTATGAAATTATAATCACATTGCTATATTCCCCTTTTTCTCTTACATAATAGTTCTAAAAGCTATCGCTATAGTAATATGTCCATATTATATGACATACAGTAATATGTCACATCACGATAGTAACATGCCGGGCTGAGTACAACTGTGCAAGCATCTTCATCCTTATATAATTTCCATGTTCTGAAGCTCTTTTAAATGGAAAAATTTCGGGTCTAGGTAGCAGATAAGACACTTATAATAAAATAATAGTCACTTTCCCTGAAGAGCTATTTGCTGCATACATCTAAGCTTTTTTTGTGGCTGCTGTCGGAGATGAGGTCTTGCTATGTTTTCCAGGCTGATCTCAAACATCTGGGCTCAAGAGATCCTTCTGCTTCAGCCTCCTGAATAGCGAGGACCACAAATGCCCACCACAGCACCCAGCTTGCATCTAGTAAACTTTTAATGCTGTGGACTTGTAGTTTCCACCTGATGGTAATATGATTAATCAGCCTGTCATATTACTATCGTGATGTGACATATTACTATATGTCACATATTAAGCTATCAGTTTTGAGAAATACAGATCTCAATTTGAAATGAATTGAACACAGGCCTGCAAAGCTGTGTTGGGACCAGGAGTAAGCTCTACTTCTAAGGAAAACATATGTGGACTGACACAGGGCAGACACCTCCACCCCAGTCTGGACATAGCTCTGGAGCCCTGTGCTCTACTGGGGCTCTGATTGTGGTAGCCCCTGTTAGAGGTGTGGCCCTGGAAGAGCAGCCCTGGGCTCAGGCTGATCCTGCTGCCTCAGGGTGGTGGCTCAGCTCCTGGTGGCCACAGTTCTGTCCTCCCAAGTTCAAGGTCCCCAGGAAATCCAGACGCCAGGAAGTAGGTGGTGGGGAGAGTAACTCCTCTTAAGGTGGCTTATTCTGAGCCAACTTTCATTTTGGCATAAAATTAGACTCTGACTGGTGTCTCTCAAAAAAAAAAAAAAAATAGAAGAAGTAAAACAGGGCAAGAATAAGTAACAGGAACGACTAAATATGATATGAATATAATTTTTATTATAATATATCCAAGTACATATGTGTGTATGAGCCTGGAAATTGAGTCCAAGCCTTCACACTGAGCCATATTCCCAGCCTTTTTGTTTTGAGATGGCTTTGGCTAAATTGCCTAGGCTTGTTTCAAACTTGTGATACTCCTGCCTTAGCCCCTCAGGCAGAGTGCTGGGATTACAGGCCTGTGTCACCAAACCTGGCTCCAAGATTGAACTCAGATCCTTGTGTTTGCCAGTCAAGCACTTATCCTACTGAGCCATCTCCCCAGTCCCCCAAGTAATATTTTTATTAAAAACCCATCTAACCACTTCTACTACACAAACAAGCTGATTTGCAGAGGAACACATTTTGTGGTGTCTCTCACAGTGAGAGGAGCCTTTTCTTCTTAGATTATCAGGGTGGTTCTCTCCCTCCCTAAATCCTGAGTACAGAGTCACTGTTCAGAGGCAGCAAATAATTTGGTCTTTTGTCTCAGTGTGTTATAAAAACATGAGCCCAATTTATATTTATGTATTTAATTTTTTTTTTTTTATTTTTTGTAACAGGTGGTTGAAGATTGGAAATTCATAGCCCAGGTTCTCGATCGAATGTTTCTGTGGACATTTCTCCTGGCTTCAGTTGTTGGATCTCTTGGGCTTTTTGTTCCTGTTATTTATGAATGGGCTAGTATAGCAGTACCAGTTCATGTTGGAAATACAAATAAGTGAAACTTATGAAGGGGCTGCAGAATGAGTATTGTTAGCAAGCACCCATCTCTTGTGGCATGGTTACAAATATGGCAACATAGAACTTTTTAAAACTCAATGCAAGCTATAGCCAATTAGTTGTTGGTAACATTGGTTTATCTTAGTAGATTGTCCCTTAGAACCTCTACTTGCATGGCTAAAATTATAACAAAAAACAGTGACGAAACAGTATCCAAACTGTCCTACAGAAAAATCTAATGTTTGTATCCTGGCAAATAATACTAACCTATAATTATCAATGAAGTTGATCTTTGGAATCCAGGAATGTTCATTTGTATTTAAAGATAGATTTAAATTTCTTCAGGATTTTATAAAGGTATATACCTTTTGGGTCTGTTTTCTGAAACAGCATTCTGTTAAGTTTTCCAAGCTGGCCCCAAACACATGGTTTCAAATGATCCTCCTGCTTCAGCCTTGTAGGTAGTTGGAGCTGTAGGCGTGTGCCACCATGGCCGGCGTTCTTCTGTCCTGTATGCACTGAGTAACAGATAAGTTTTAGTATACCATACTGCTATGTTTAGTAAGCTGACTACTCAGTACATAAATACTTAATGTGATGCTGATACTTCTGCAAGCGTCTTAAATAAATGAACAAGGGGGACTGGGAACTCCAAGACTTACATTATTCTGCAGATGCTGAGTGTTGTACCAACTATTTTTATACCTTATCTTTCTCTGTGAAACCATGCAACCATTAATGCCTATGGACATGCTGCGGGGTATCCCTCAGCAAGAGGAATCCAAACAATTCCAGTCTCCTGTCCACATTCTCCACAATTAGTAGAGTCATGTATGGAACTGTGGTATCATTTCTGTATCTTTGATCTCAGAACCGGCTACTGTAGTTACACAGATCCCATTTTATAGGGATGTCTCTGTCCGAATCCTCTATAAGAAAACTATCTTCCAAGCTAAAAGATTATATCCCAACTTGACATAAGCAACTAGTTACATACCTCTAATGTTTCAGTTTTCTTTCATTCCAGCAATTACAGTAATAGAGCCTTAGAACGTCAAGGGCCTTTAGGTATAATCTAGTTTAAGTCTATCTATCAATAATAAGGTATTTGTGAGTACAGTAAAATGTATCACAGGTAAACAGTTAAATTTCATCTCTCAAATAATCCTGACTTACCTACGACCAGAAAGAAAACACTGATAGAAAACTTGCATTTGATTTAGAACTCTTAGCTGCTCAGAGGCCAAATGGCTCATTTATTAATAGAAAGTAACCCAGCTATGTTCAAGTTACTACTCTTGAGAAGACAGAAGGGTCCCTTGTGTCATTTATATTTTATAACAGGTCAGTGCTTACTGTAATTTAATGAGTGAAAATGTGTGCTGTAGTTGGTAAGTGTCCCCCAGAGGCCTAAGTGTAGAAAGTTAGTCCCGAGCCTGTGAGGCTTTTGGGAGCTGGGGCCTGGCAAGAGGAAGTGAGGTCACAGGGGATGTGTGGCCTTGGACAGGATAATGGCACTTCTTCTCTTACTGCTTTTTGGATGCCAGGAGGTGAAAGGCCAAAATACACCTTTTCTCTTTTAGAGTTAGCTGAAGTACTTTGTCACAGAGACAGAAAGCTAATACATAAAATTGGACCTAAGAAGTGGGGTTGTTGCTGCAGCTATTCTTGAAAATGTTTCAGAAACCTTAGGAATTGGTTCGTGGGAGGAATCTGGAAAATTGTGGGTGCCATAAACAGAGCCTAAGGGGTGACTCTGGTGAGGGCTGAGGAGACCACAATGCGGATAGAAACAGGGACAGGAAAGGTGCAGTGGAGCTTTCAGATGGAAAGGAAGAATTAGGCACCTTCCAGGGCATTTTGGCAAAGAATATGGATTCCTTTTGTTCATATTCTGAGACTCTGGGAATCTGGACTAGTTTGTCTGGCTGAGGAAATTTGAAGGTAGTACAGTATTGAGCCTACTGCCTGGGTAGTGCTGGCTGCTTTTAGGCAGCTTTACAGTGACAACAAAAGGTAAAGAAAAAAGATTTGGGAAGCTTGGTTTTGCCTGAGGGGTACGTTTAAAGGTGCTACCAAAGAAGATACAATCTTAGAGATTAACACCATTAAAAAGAAACAGCATACTTTGTACCAGGACACAAGGAAAATGCCTTGAGGGTACCTCAGTTTACCCTCACCCACCACAGGCTCAAAAGTGGAAAGGTATAAGCTCCTGTCAAAGACTCCTTAGAGAAAAGAGCCCCAGGATGCCCTGCTTAAGTAGGCCCAACTAGGGAACTGTCTCCTTGGGTTTCATTTCCTGTGTGTACCAGTTGAGCTACTCCACTCCACTCCAGCCATCGTTCAAGCGGGCCCCTGCACAACTCAAGCTGGGGGCCTTGGCAGCATCCACGCGATGCTAGTTTTGCAGACAGGGATGTAGAATTCAAGGGCTGTGGACTCATGGATGCTTCCACTATGATTTTAAAGGCCCGTCTAGGAGGCCTGGTATTGTGCGGCAAGGTCAGAGTCCCTGCAAGAGCCCCTGAGAGGTGACTCATGCAGTTGTGAGACTGAGGCCAGCACTGCAGTGGAGACTGTGGGCTGCAGCAAGCACAGCCTCGGGGCTGGCTGCCTATGTCCTTGGGATCCTAGTTGTTACCTGTGTGTATCGGATAGCAGACATGGACACCATGTTTGCCTTGAGGGGCTTCAATCTTGCTTTGATCTGACCCTTCTGTGTCTCTATTCTTCCCTTTTGGAATAGGAATGTTGACCCTGTACCATAGAATCTTGGGGTATGCAACGTTCTTTCTGATTTTGCTAAGAGCTTACTGCTGAGTTTACCTTGAGTCTTGAAGGAAACTTTGGACTTTTAAGCCATTCTGGAACAGTTAAGACTTTGGAGACTCTTGAAGGAAGACTCAATGTGTTTTGCGTTATGAGATGGACATAAACCATTGGGAACCAGCGACAAAATATTATGATTTGGGTCAGTGTGCCTGGAAAGCCCATGTGTGCTAAGCTCACCCAGCAGCTTGTGGCACTCTGGGGAGATGGTAGAAGCTCCAGCAGTGGTGCCTGGTAAGAATGCGAGGCCATGGAGGGTGTACCCACAAGTACTGGGGCCCAGCCCCTTCCTCTTTGTCTTGTGGCCCCATGAGCTAAATAGCTTTGCTTCAGTGTACACTTCACACTGGATGTGCTACCTCACAACAGGCCAGCGGACCAGTGATAGAACTGGGAGCCAGATTCACCTTTTTTTATTCATTTTTTTATTAGTACATATTTATAGCACAGTGATTACATTCAGAATGAGGAGCTGGTCCATGTACGTAACACATCTTAATTCATTGTACGACCCTTTCCTTCTTCCTCCAACTCTAGTCCCTTTTCCATTTGTAAAGGTCTGCTTCCCTGAGTCCTAGTATCCATCTTTTATTTTGCTCTTCAGATTACTTATAGTTTGGGTTTCTCATAGAAGAGAAGCCATTAAATATTTAAGCTTGTGCATCTGATTTATTTCACTTAGCATGATGGTCTCAGGGTTCCCCCATTCCCCACAAATGGCTCCTTTATCTTTCTTTATAACTGAGTAATACACCATGATGTATAAATACCACATTTTCTTTTCCATTCACTTGTTGAGAGACATGTGGGCCGCTTCCACGATGGCGCTATTACGAGTTGCCCTGCTATAAACATGGGGATGCCTGGGTCGTCATCACAGGGTGTCTTTAATTCTCTTGGGAAAATACCTAGAAGGGGAATACCTGGGTCAAATGGAATTTTCTAGCTTTAGTTTTCTGAGGAATCTACAATGGGGGGGGGTATCTACAATCAATGTATTAATTTGCATTGCTACCAACAATAGGATTCTCTTTTCCCTGCAGCCTGTCCAGCATTTGTTGTTATTGATAGTAGCCACTTTTTCTGAACTAAGTTGTTTTAATCTGCATTTATCCAAGGACTAATGATGATGACGTTTTTCATGTGTTTATTGACTACTTAGACTTCTGAGAAGTGTGTATTCATTTTACTTGGTTACTTTTTGACCTGGGTCTTTTATTTTAGAGGCATGATTTTTTGGGGGATATATATTTTATTTTTATTTTTATTTTTTCAAAATTTTGTGTGTGTGTGTGTGTGTGTGTGTGTGTGTGGCCAGCTCAGCCCACCAGGGGGCGGGGCTGGCTGGCATGTGGTGCTGGGGGATTGAACCGTGGTCCTTGTGCTTTGCTAAGCTTGTTCTAAGTAGGTGCTTTAGACCACTGAGCCATCTCACCAGCCCGGGGATATATATTTTAGATATTGGTCTTCTGAGGAATAGCTGACAAATTTTTCCCCCATTCTGTAGTTTGTGTCCCACTCTGTTGTTTGCTTTACAGTGCAGAAGCCTCTTAATGTCCCATTTGTTATACCCACTGGTATTTCTCATGCAATTGGGGTTCTGTCCAAAAAGCACAGCTGACCTGTGTTTTGGGGAGTGCCTAAATCCAGGAGTGGGCTAGTTTCTCCTTACAAACCCCCTTGATGCTGGATGGGCCCAAAGAATTTTTTTCTTTTATGTATTTGGCACAGGGTCTCACTACACAGCTCGGACTCGTAGCGATCCTCCTGTTTTCACCCTCCCCAGCGCTGGGATTACAGGCATGCAGACTCAGCTGAGGGTGGGGCTGGCTGCATGTGGGACAGGGGATAAAACCCTGGTCCCTGCGCTTGCCAAAGTAGGGGCTTAATCCGCTGAGCTATCTCGCTGAGCCTCTGGCCCAGTGAATTTCTGTTTACTCTCCTGTATCAGGCTTTGTTTTTAGCCTATGCCTCAGGGGACCTGCTTTTCTCCAGTGCATGGTTTCGAGACTCCCTCCCTTGCTTTTACTGCTTGATGACTATGAAGCTGATTAGCTCAGGTACGTGTTTTATGAAGTGACAGAAAGCTCACTAACAGCATGAGCAGT